ATCAATTACTACTAGTACTACTAATTCCTTTTTTAACCCTTTAGAATGCCAATCAGGAAGTAAATAATATATTCGTATCTTATGATAAAATTTGCCTGAATTTAGTATGGCTCGCACTAATTTATTGGGATGGAAGAAAAATATCATTTGACTTTTATAATTCAAGGAAAACTTGGAGCCCCTGAAAAAATCTTCGAGGAAGAAACCAGATAACTAGGCAGTACAAAGACTAGAAATTCGGAACTCGAGAATTCCGAGTGTTCGAGCAAAGTTCAGGCAATCCAATACGTCTAAAGTCTGTTTTGTTTCCCTTCCGATTGCAGTGAATTGAAAATGGCATTAAAGCTCACAGTGTCACCAAGGACAAGAAAAAGACTGCATTCAAACAGTCAATCTCCAAATTATCTCGTAATCGTTTCATGCATGATAATTTAAGAAAGGCTGTTCATCAAAGTTATGATCTGGTTAACACCTTCTTTCAGGCTTTGATGTTTAGTTTGCTGAGAAGAAAATGACAGGATCTGCGATAACACTAAGTGGATCATTTGTGCAAGTCTGACTTGAGAAAAATCCGTGTTGTTTCATATGACGAAAGCCATTACAATTTATTGGATTAAGACTCCAACTAATGCGTAAACTCTTATGTTCCTTTTTTTTATTGAAATCAAACAAATATAGCTGATCGTAGGACATAATTTATTACTTCTCTTCTTTGTCAGTTAGCGAAAAATCTTAACTTCAGCTCATAAGAGTCTCGAAGAAACTTTCTCTTTTACTCTGAAACTCTCTTTTCTCGTGTCGAAATTGATGTCAAAAACAATATAGTCATATACAGAAAGCCTCTTGTTTTATGTCAGAAAGTACGAATGCGCTGCTATCTAATCGACTCAGGCATATTCTGCCATCATATTACTAAATGAATAAACAGTTGCAGATGAGATGCTGTAGATTCCCTAGATATGGTGTATCTCTTCTATTACTCATTGATTTGTCTAATGTCTCGTTGCTCCTTGTTATTCTGCCTGATGTATTTTGCGAGAAAAATATGAAAGTAACCAGCTCTATATTAAAAATCGACTTTATACTCATCTCATTACTAAATGTCTAGAACTTTCAAGACAAACAATATTTTGCTCCAATAGCTTAATACAGCTTTTTAAACTGTGTTATAGAGCAATGAAGCCCTGACTCTGACTCCTATGAGACTTTTAGAACTATAATTAAGATCCTAGAGATTCAATATGAATTTCGGGCATGCACATTATTATTTTAAATGTTCCGTAAA